TGGTGGTCGGGATTAGATACAAAAGCAAATTAAATGTTTATACATTTGGTCACTCAAAGAAATAACCATATTTTCCATTTCAATTTTGATAGTCGATTTCACTTTCGATGTATCTACGTGTGTGCCTTCTATCACAAATGCCGCAATATCCCCAATTTTTTTCTTTGCTTGTTGCTCTTAGATTTTTTGGTAATCATCTAGGTAGTTGGGCTACCAGAAGATTACCACAGTAGTAACAAAAGGTAGTATCAAAAATCTTTTGGTAAACAGGTGGTGTAAACCTAAAAGTTCGTCACCATGTAACCGCCCATGTTTGACAAACACCTTCTAATGTGTGTAACGAGTCTAAGCGTTCTACTTCACATTTTAAAAGGTCATGATGGCATCTTAAACATCGTGTTTTAACTGAACCTTTTTTGAATTCGAGTGGTAGTTAAATCCTCTTTTGCTTTTCCACAATAGGCATTTTTTTTGACACATCAATAAAATTTAGGGAAGCTGCAGTTTCGTTTTTCGCTTGAAACGGAACACATTCATCAATCTCTTTTGAAGTAACTCAATCTAGTTTTTTTTACATTTTTGAAGTCTTTTAATTTAAACCTGATTTTTTCTGTTGTCGTGGACAGATGGTCAGCCTTGTCTTATTCCTGTATTTCTCTGTTGGTTGATCTCAATCTTTCCATCACATAGATAGGCTTCCCTTCACTATTTGTTAATTTCTGTATAGTACCAAATCAAATACAAGGATGATGATAGAAAATTTTTGACAATGTGTTAATTTCTTTATAGTACCATACCAAATCAAATACAAGGATGATGATAAAATTTTTTTGACAATTATTGGTCTCCGTCCTGATGGCCGAAACGGGGTCACGGGGAAATGTCAGACGATGCCGGCGAAAGAGAGCAGGAAAGAAACGCAGGGACAGAAGGACCTAATCCATGGTGCGAACCGAACAAAAAGTATTACCCAAAGCCATCCTTGCGAATTGCCGATCGGTAGTCGCAAATGTCCATGAGTATATGGAGTTCTTGAATATCAATGCTGAAACCGTTTCAAATGCAGCGCTTACAGAAACCTGGATGCATGGATCTTTTCAAGACAGTATGTGCGAACACCCTAGTTTCTACCGTATTCGTCAAGATAGAAGCAATGGCAAATGTGGAGGTGGCTTGATAGTGCTACTGAACAAAAAATGAACAGCGACTAAATTAAAGTAGAAAAGATTGAACGTTTTTGATATACTGAGGTGCTGCAGTTACTTTTAGGACCTAAGTATCTTCCGCGAGAGTTCACGAGAGTAAACCTATCTGTCTGTTATTGCCCAACGAACCGACAAACGAAAAATTCAAGAGTTTGCAATTCCAGCTAACTGATTATGCACCGATTGAAATGCTTTATTTAGTTAAGGGAGACTTCAATGGCCCTTTTAAAATACCAAAACAACTCGTTGAATTTCCAACAAGAGGAAAGAACAAGTTAGATCTTGTTTTTTGTAACCTCAAGGACTCCTACGTAGCCAACTCGGCTCAAGGCATCAGGAACATCGATTTCAAAATGGTGAAAATTTCGAGTAAGTTCCATCCAGTTAACAAAAGAAAAGTCACGCCGAAAAATAGAACAGTAGTGAAAACTGACTACGCGAAACTATGCAGATTGATGGAAAAATAGTTCGAACAATTCATAGATGGAAAGAAGACAAAAAATGCATATGGCAAATTTTACTAAAAATCGAGAAATCTTGAGGCAATGCTCGGGAGAAAATAAAATGAAAGATTACCAAAAATTTAATCAGCCCTGGTTCGTTGCTGAAGTCAAAAGCGCCATCAAACACCGAGAGAGACGACGGGGAAACCCATTCAGACGAATTTAGAGTATCAAGAAATAACTGTAAATGGTTAATTGCACAGGAGAAGAAACTGTATCATGGTAGTATCATAGAACTCAAGAACTCCACGAAGATCTGGAAAGTGCTGAAAAGAGGAGCATCTCTGCACAGTAATTCAAGTCAAGATGCGATCGTTGAATAATTTTTTATTTGATATGTTGGCCGCGTTTGATTCTAAACAGCGCCAAAAAATAATAGTTTCTCTTGAGTTTGGGTGTTAGAGTTATTGGAATTACTATTATCTGTTAGTAGATCGTAAGTTTGTGATTCTTAATAGCGAACAGGTATATACAATAACAGCTGCAATACCTCAAAGAAGTGCTCTGAGGCCCATTCTATTTGCTATGTATATTCAAAATATCTCGTGCACGAAAGGCCTACTAGTGAAGTTCGCAGATGACTTTACGATAGAGGCGGAAAACCAAAAATGTCTTGAGGACGCAGATTAAAAATGCTTGGTCAATAACACTGGAAAAACAAAACTGCTGAATTTCAGGAGGAAAAAATTGAAGAGCCATGGTCTGATAATCAATGGTGTTATCATTCAAGAGGTTGATAAAGTGAAATTGCTTGGATGTCAAATATCAAAAACACTCAATTGGGATGAACATTTTCAGGTGAGATCAAAGTTGAGCTCATGCCGGTACCACATGAAGGTCCCTAAGAGAAGCGTCAATATAGGAAAGCTGCAGAATTTATACTACCACTCTTTTATTTTGCCGAATCTGACGTATTGTCCAAGTCTTTTCTATTACTCTTTGACACCATCTCAAAAATAAACTGTCAATTCCCAACAGAAGAAAGCTATCCAGTTGCTATTTCCAAGTCTGCGAGCCAAGCCTTCTTTAGACTCTCTCATGCATCAGAATGCTGGAAAAACTTGGGAAAGAATGGAGACTTCAGGGATGCTGGAAGAGTATCAACGATCATCACGACTCCGCCAGAAAACGGAAATGGTGTTTGCGAGGACAGACAGCCACGGGAAGCAATTTATTCTATCACATTCGAAGCTTCTAAATCCAGAAAATCAGAAAATGCTTGTAAACTACTAACTATTCCATGCATTCTATGCTCGCTTTATCCATTTTCATTCTTTTTTGATTGCAATCAGTAGATCAATATTGTAAGCATGAATAATTCAAAGTTTTAAAGTCCTACTCTGGGATAAAAATGACATGCCGCGAGGTCCAAATTACTGATAAGAAGACCCATTTGATCGTTAATGAACTTTGAGACATCACGGATCTGATGCAGCTAGTCTGTGAAAAAATTTAACACGATTTTGAGTAATAACGCTCTACAACAAGTATCCTTTTCTTAATAGGTTCCTGAATGGGTAATTTGTTATACTTGTCAACGGGCCGGGCCGCCCGTGGGCATCAACGGGCCGGGCCGAGGTTTTCACTTTTGTCAACGGGCCCCAACGGACCTTACTTTTATTGACTAACCAATGTTATGTTTCAGTAAAACGACATGTGGACGCTTGTATTACAAAGAAAGTAACGGGCGCAATGAACCAGTATTTAAACAATCTTGGTTCTTCGTCACCATTCGTTCAACTCTGCCAGGTCTAGTCGCATTGTTGCAAGGAATGGTGGATTTGGGTTCAAAACATAGTAATTTGTTTTTTTTTTTACCAAAAAAGCAGCAACGGGACCCAACGGGCCGATATTTAATAAATTCCCTGTTTATCGGGCCGCCAACGGGCTCGACTTGAATTATATCGGGCCGGGCCGGGCCTCAATTATGGCGGCCCGTTAACAAGTCTGTCTAGGGCAACAATTTTTTGCTGTTGGATCTCGATAAGATCCAATATTTTACCGAAAAGTGTTTTTTAATTTTAATCCGTTTTTCTAGTTCTATCAGTGGAAGCTAACTAGCAGGACCGGTATTTGTCTTAGAGGTAAATTGTTCTAGTGCTAAAAAGAGCAATTGACCCCTAAGACAAATACCGGTCCTGTTGGTTAGTTTCCACCGAGTTTTTACTAACACTAAATTGCTTGTTCTAACTATATCGGAAACTTTTTTGACCTAATTATTGATTTTGTCTTCGAAGTACTTGTCGAGAAAAAATTATTGTCATTAAGTTGTTATTTTGATTACGAAGATTGGTCGCATAAAATGCTGCTCATGTTGAACTTTTTGTATAAAATTTTCAAGAAAAATCAGTGCTCAACGTACCAAGACTCAACATAAAAGCGAAGCTGTAGTCAACAGAAACAATCAAGAAAACAGCAAAAGAAGCTCCAAAAGGGTAAAAATAGTATTAAAAATTCGAACGAGCCGAAAACGAAATGCCAAGTTTGAATGTCAGAACCAAGCATCAAGCACTAGCCGCAAAATAACACTGATACAACAACCTATTGCTTCTTCAACAAAAGTAGGCCAGCTGTAATGCTTGTAGCAGCAATTATATAGAGATATTGCATCAAAAATAAATCATTTATAAGGCTAATACTAGCGTATAACGCACCTCCGGTGCTTCGAAGTTTCAACAACTCAAAAACTATTCTTTGAGTGTACTCTGACAGCACCCACTTACAGGGTTCGTAATTACAAATTTTGCAAAGTTTTTTATTCGAGTTTTTATACAAATTTTGAAGAACCATAAAATGTTGTGAAGTTTTATATAAGTTCTTCGAAAAAATTAAAATGAACTAAGAAACGTCACATCTGGAAAACTGCAAGAAATTGAGCAGCCACATTTGGACGCAAGATTTGCAACTCCTGAGAGTACTCTTCAGTACCCAACTACAACGTTGGGAAATTCAAACTTTGAGAAACTTCACCTGAAGTTTTTGAAAAAAAAAGGTTTATTAACCTGTAAACTCTCAGTAAAAAGAATACTGATGAGAATTTAAAAAAACAGACGATTAGAAAAGTGTCAATGAACTCAAGAAAACAAAAAAATTGATTTAATTGAAAACTTTTCACAACAAACTTTATTTTGCCTTAAGGCTCTTTAATTTTCTAAAAGCTCTATTTTTTATGATAAAACTAATCCAATTTGACAAAACTGTATCGAGAGTTAATTTTCTTCGTTCCGGTAGGAAATCTTAAAACTAAAATCCACTTTCGAAACTAAAAGTCATTCACGAAAAAACAACACGACCTAAAAAATATCTACACTGCGTTCATTGACACGTCAGTAATTACAAATAACTGTTTAAATTCACACTTTCAAATAAATCATTTTTACCCAATCATATATTTAGTTGATATGTAACCCAATTTAATTTACAACCAAACCAGTGAGTTTAGATTATTGCTGGAGTTATTCAGTTACAGGAGTGTGCTTTGCTGATTTACAGCTGCCTTCGATATTTTTTCAAATGATATCTGCAGCAAATTCCTCAAATGCGGGTAATATTTTGAATACTCTTTCGCGCCTTCGTTTCTTACTTTTTGCACGTAAGCTTCCAAGCCCGAATTGAAAAATGCGATTCTGTCTTTTTCAGTTGGGTGATCATCAAACCATTTACTCATGTCTAAGTTATCCATATCCGCTGCAATGTGCGGAGGAGTGATTTCCGGGAATGCGCGCGAAAACATCAACATCAACACTACACTAGGCCTGATCAAATCGGAATTTTTCACGAATTCAATTAGAGCTTCCGGTTGGTACGACAAAACTGTTGAAAACATACGTAATTTCTTGAAAGCGAAGTTTGAATTCGGGTAAAGTTGGCGCATACAAGCTTCGAATTGCTCTATATCCTTATTTATAACTGATATTCCTGCTTCGTTTATTTCACAAATCATTGCAATATGAACCATCAAAAACTCAGATGAGACTCTGAAAACACCTTCGCAGGTTTTTTCGACACACGAATAGCATGTGAATTTGCTGAGGTAACTCGTATTAACTCGATTTGTGAAAGCGCTTAGCTCTCGAATATAGAGCGAACACCTTTCAGTTGCTAAAACTGTTGAGTCAAGCACATATTTCTCAGTATGCATAGTCTTGATAATATCCTTGATGTAATTCTGCGCTTGTCCAAGCCATGACTGCAAAATAGAATTCACAGTTAATTCCAACTTTTCAATAGAAGGGTTCAGAATAATTCTGCAACTCTGTGACAAGTTATTTTTGTCTAAAATTTCGAGTGCGTTTGACCTGAAAGCGTAAACTGTATTTGCGACATTCACCATAAACAGTTGTGTTTCATTCATATTTGTAAGCAATTGCCAACATTCAGGCGCGTTCGAAGGAACAATTTCTTCGGCTTTGATAGCGTAGAGACTAAGCATTTTGCCAATATTTTTGCAAACTGAAGCTGTCAAATCTTGGTCGAATTGAACAACTGATAGTTCGGATGTTATGCCGCCTAAAACACGCACAAATTATGTAATAAATCATAATATGATGCAGCAGCCAATGAATACTTAACAATTTAAAATGGACAATTTTATGTTAAACCAATTTGTGGAAACTGGATCGATAGGTAAAACTTTATTTTCGCGTGGAAATCTGATAATTCATTTCCGTTTTTGAAATTAGAAGTCGATCACGTTTTTCGTGACCTTTACACTTTTGCTGTTCGATGTTGGATTTTGCCTTTCTTTTAACAATGGAAATGCTCAGAACTTAAAAAGAAATCACAAGTCAAACCACGAAAAATCAAAATTGAGCGTGAACAAATTTCCTGAAAAAAAAAACAAAAAGAAATCACCAAAAAGACCTATATAAAATTACCCACTACGTTCATTACTCTTTATAACTCGACTGGACAAGTGTTATCGCTACATTCATCGGTAAATACCTGAAAAGCTGCAACGTTCATTTTTGAGCTTTGTTGGCCAATAACAATGATGATTTGGCAAGGGTAAAATTCATTGAGCTTACATTAAATCTAAACGGTACAACTCATCTAAGACAACGAGACAAAACTAACTGACCGAGAATCGCGTTAGTTTCCTCTTCGGTCGGCAACTTCACGTCCTTCTTCGAGAATGCCAAATTAACTGGATCAAATAACCTGGACAGAGATCTGGACAGATATGCACTCTTGAACTCATCCAGACATTTCTTCCACCCATTTTGCACATCATCTAAACGACCACGTTAAACATTAGAATCAACATTTCATTGCTTGAGGGCGCGGCAACATTGCCCAGCCCAGAAAAAAAGTTGCATGCAGTTTTTAACCAAGGGCACAACAGCGATTCTCCGTGAAGCTCGCATTTTAGTCGTTTCCGTGTGAATAAATTTTCATAACTTAACTGCTTTAAACACTCGTTCTATCAAAAATGGATATTCATGTCTGCTGAGGGAATAAAAAGGAAACAATTATTTTCAAACATTCCATCTAATGATAAATTTTGGTTATTCCATTGATCATTGAAAACTGAATTTTAAATCGAAAAAATGAGCGATCTTAACTTTACACCAGCGATCTTAATTGCTCTTTAAAATATTAGCGGTTAATCAGCTATAAGCGGTGAGATATTCATAAATCACGTGTTTGCTATCAATTAGAAATTTTCAACGTTAGCTAATTATGGCAATATGTTGTTAGTTATATAGATTATCAGTATAAAAAAACCTGGATTTGACAAAAAATACAATTCATGGTAGGCAAAAAGATTCTCTGGATTGTCAGTTTTTCTCACATTTACCTTTAGGGCGTTTCAGAAATTCGAAACCCACGCTAGAATCAGATTTCAACTCAATATACGATGCGCTCTTGTCACGCATTCCAAGGAACGACTTCAGAAATTTTGGGTACTCGCTCTCGATTATCTGTTTTAGAGCACTGCTGTTCGAAGCGCATTTTGCGTACTCCGTTTTGAGCAGATTTTGTACAAATGTGAAGTACGAATCAAGAGATATTAAATCTTCGTTTTCGTTTGCAACCAGTTCCAAAAACGAACAGTAATTTGTGGCTGTGTCTTTTTTCTTCGAGAGTAAAGTCACAACGAAGTGGAATTTTTGGATGCTTGCCACACATAAGTTGACAATCTTTTCAGTGTTCGTCCAGAAATTCGACCTGAAAACAAAAGACTGGAGAAAATTGGATGAACCGAAAATATTTGGACAATTTTTTCAGTGCACAGTAAGAAAACTTTGAAGCAAGCAATGTTATAACTTTGTGGCAAAATTTTAAAAAAATAGTAACCATAAAGGAACTTTTTTGCCCGGAAATGGCCCTCTAAATTTATAAATTTATGTTGCCCAAAACAAAAGCTTCTATTTGAGAACCGCCCTTGCATCCCTCATTTAGCTTCAATCAAGTATAAAAACAAAATCACAACTAATTTTTTTCATGCAACGCCCTATATCAACCCATTTACCGTCAAAATAGCGTTAAGAAACATCTAAAAGTTACCTGATCACAACTGAATTTCCAGTGATCGGCATGTTTGCTTTTCCAGGCCCGAAACTGCGACTACTCTCGTTTTTATTCAGCTGGTTTATGCTCAGTAATTTAGAAACGTCAGTGCTGAGGTTTTTCTTCAATTCTTCGACTACATTCGCGAGACATGAGGTCAGCTTGTTCAGATGGTAGTACGCCTACAATTAAGTTATGACTATTATTATACTTACTGTGGTTTCGGCGATTTTCAGAGGATCTATCAAAGACTACCCCGCCTGTCTAAGGATATTCAGTTTCTTTTATTTCGCCATATTCCAGTGTGAGTTATTTTTATTGCGCGAAGCTCATTTTCATCGGAACTAAAGGCCGTTTTTTGCGTTTAGAACTGTCACGTGGTACCACTATTGCAGCCCAAATTGGTTAGACTGTGGTAGATCTGAAGCTACAGGTCAAGTGAGAGCTCATACTCACACACTATAATTGTCTTGGCAGGGAGAGAGAAACAACACATGATCTGCTCAGCTCATTACGGAAAATCTCCATTTTACAATTTAGGTTTTAATTCAAATATCACTGTGATGAAGTTGACATTTATGCCTTAATTCCCAACCAAATTAACCAAATGCAATACGAGCAGCCATTTGCAGCAAAAGTAGTACCGACTAACCCTCAAAGATTCCGGCTAACACAATTTTTTTTTTACAGCTGAAGAAATCTATTTAACGGTATGTATGATCGAAACGGTGATTTAAACCCATTTCTTATTAAAACCGATAACAGTTGAACAGTTCGTATCAGAAGTTTGGCCTGTAGGATCACTTAATTCTTACTAGCGTTTAACGCACCTTCGGTGCTTCGAAATTTTTCGACAACTCATGAAAAAACCGCATATATTGGAAACAAGAAACAACTTTTAGTGTACTCTGACTGCACCCAATTACAGGGTTGGTAATTTCGAACTTTTTAAATCCAATTTTAAAAGCGTCATCTCGAAAACTTAATGGGCCTCTGGAGAAATCTGGAGGCCAGACTTGCAACCACTGAGTCCGTGAGAGCACCCTACTATAGGGTCAGGAATCCAAAATTTTTTTAAACCTGTTTCGCCGAAAAAAAAATTGAAAAAAAAACGTCTGATCTCAGAAACTAAAAGGATTTGAGCATTCACATTAAGAGGCAAGATTTGAGACGCCTGGGTGTAAGCCGACAATAAGGTTGTATCTTCATCAAGTTAGTAGTTTCAAATTTTTTGAATTTCTTTGTAGATAAGTTCTTTGAGAAATTTTGAAAAATGAAAAAACGTCACATCTCGTAAACTAATAGCATTTGAGCGGTCGCGTTTAGCAGTCGCATGTGGCAAGGTTTGGAACTCTTTAGAGAACACTGACAACACCGAACTATAGCGTTGGGAATTTCAAATTTTGAATAATTGATTAAAACTTTCTGAAAATTTTGAAGAAAATCACAAAAAACGTCACATCTCAAAAACTACAAAGAATTGAGCAGTCATATTTGGAGGCAAGATTCGCAATCTTCGAGATTACTCTGACAGGACCCAACTACAGGGTTGGGAGTTTCAGATTTTGCAAAAAAAATTAAAACAAGTTTTCTGAAAATTTTTGGAAAAAATCACAAAAAAAGTCATATCTCGAAAACTACAAAGATTTGAACAGTCATATTTGGAGGCAAGATTTGTAACTCCTTAGAGCACTCTGACAGCACCCAACTACAGGGTTGGGAAATTCAAGTTTTGTAAATTATTTTTTTTGGAAATTTCTGAAAACTTTTGAAAAAAATCACAAAAAACGTCATATCTCGAAAACTACAAAGAATTGGCAGTCATATTTGGAGTCAAGATTCGCAATCTTTGAGATTACTCTGACAGGACCCAACTACAGGTTTGGAATTTCAGACTTTCAGAATAAATAAAAAAATTTTGAAAAAATCACAAAAAATATCATATCTCGAAAACTACAAGGATTTGAGCAGTCATATTTGGAGGCAAGACTCGCGATCCTTGATAGTACTCTGACAGGACCCAACTACAGGGTTGGGAATTTCAAGTTTTATAAATTATTTTGTTATTTCGTTAACTAAAATGATTCGGGCATTCAAAATTGGAGGCCAAATTCGCAACACCTAATTCGATATTGGGCTGCTTAATTGAAACTCGGTAAAATAACCACTAAAATCAAATAGGAAAATCGAAAAAAAAATCTTAACTATTGCAATATACGATGAAGCTTAAACATGCAAAAATAATATGTTGGAAAAGCCTAAACATGGCGAGATAGTGAAGCCCGCATTTAAATATATAATAGATAGATAGATTTTAATAATATAAGTATAAAATTCAATAGAAGTAAAGTTATAGATTGAGATAACCGATATTCCTGCAGATATTCGACCATCCTTCAGAAAAAGTTTACTGAAAAGGTACACCACTCCCACATATAAGACCACACCAAAAGGATGAAACTTTCGTAACCAATTTTGTCCAGTTAGCCCACGGGGCTACAACAACATATCGACGAATAGAAGACAACTGTAAAAAAAACTGTAAAAAAACAAAGACCTTCAATTGCCTGCTACACCCAACTGATCAGAAAGGTGCGCATAAAGTGCGCAGAAAGGTGCGCATTATTTGATATAGATGGTTCTTGGCTTTTCCATTTTTCGTTTAAATTATCTATACCTATTTATATCAATTCTCGAATTTAAATTCATTACCTGCAATACACTGCCAAGAGTATTGTGATTTTCTTCCATGAGACTTTTGTGTAACAACTCAACTAGTCTCACTTTGATTTTCTGAGCAGCTTCTTTGAGCAATCTTTCAACAGGAATGCAAACTTCGATTTTTTGCAAATCTTCCGATGAAGAAAATAGTTGGTCTAACTGCCAGACACTTTGAGCTGCTTTAGCTAAGTCACGGTCGCCTATCACAAAAAAATAACAAATCAGTCTATAATGAATTAAGTGTTGTCAACAATTTTTTATATACAACATTATTGTTTTCTCAATCTGATTGACTTGATTCCCAACCCTCTTACTCCTTACTTTTATTAATGTTATACTTTACTTTTCTCTTAATTTATGAAATTCCAATGGTTTTTGACTGGGTGAAATAATAAAGGACTAGTGAAGAAACTTCACTTACCATGATAATTTCTGACCGTCAAAAAAGTCTGACCATCAAAAATATTTTTTATTACTAAAGATCAAACCTTGTACGACGCCTACCTGTGTCGAGTTGCTGCTGAAGCCTTCTGCCGATGAACAGAACCCGAATAACTTTGCGAAGGGAGTCACAGACATTTTGCATGTTCTCTAATTGGACAACTTTGCTATGCGCTTTCACATAACTATCGTCAACCTTCGCCTTCACCCGATTAATGGACAAGGATAGCGATTGTGATTTTCCTTGCATCATGTTGAGTACATTTTCAACTCTTTTAATGCCGGTCGAATGCGAAATGAGATCCTCGTAGTGTTCTGTAACATGATAGCGTATATCTGAATCAACTGAGAGCAACCTATCGTTAAGATCCCGACTAATGAACTCAGCTTGCCCGATTCCGCCAAACTTCTCAACTGCTAGTTGAACGTTGAAATCCTCAGAACAAAGAACTTCTCGATAATCAGAATGATTTTCATGATTCATTCTGCCTTAAATTAGCATTTTATTGAAAAAGACATTCGTAAGACAATATTGCGGACAAAACTCCATAGTTGGAATACTCATGCAGGTCTTTAAACAGAACACAATTTTTTTTCTATCTTTTTTACGGTAACCAGAAGGTCAAAAAGATTATAGTAACCGAGGCTACAGCCAGGAGTTCCTTCATCACATATTCTAGTCAAAATCCTAGGAGTTTTCTAGATATGCAAAAGTATGTAACATTCGACCGGAAGTACATATCGACGGAAAATAGAGCTAAGCTATAAAACGACTGGCCAGCGTTTAAACAGAGCTCTACATGCTTTTCCCCGTCTCTACCAAAGCCAGTTCTTTTGGTGGTCTTTCTCACATCGGGTCGAATACTCTTGTTTTAGACATCAATGTCTTCAGGGACCAGAACCCATCGTCAATTATTGTACTCTGTGGGGATTTCAATAACTCGGATACTGATGACCTCGTATTAGATTGTGGTCTTTACGATGTTTGTACGGAACCCACACGCGGGAATAATAAACTTGACAAAATATTGTGTTCGGATGAAATTTATTTCAATGGTATTGAACGATTTACGTCTACTCTGAGAACTGACCATATGTGTTTGGTTGCTTATCATGGTGTTGAACAATCTGAAAAGAAGGTTGTTTTTTTTTCGTGACCATAGATTTGCCAACAAAAATCATTTGAACTACTTTTGACCTTCTGATTATCGTAAAAAGAAGAAAAAAAAAAGAAAATAAAAAAAAAAAAAATTTGAACTATTTGCTGGATACCCATGATTTAAGTTATTTTCTTAACTACAACGATCCAAATGTGTTGTTAGGGGAACTTTCTAACGAGCTTCTGAATCTGTATAAGGTCACCTGTCCATTGAAACGTGTTGTTCTTAGCTCAAAGGATCCACCTTTCATGACTCCGGTTATCAAATATCTTTTAAGGAAGAAGCATCGACATACACGTCGAGGTAAACTCAGGGAAGCGAATGCTGTCGGCCTTCAAGTTCGTATGTTAATAACTAAACGTGCCTTTTCTGATGCCAGTGGTCGAAACTGGTGGCAGCGTGTGAATACTTTATTGAATAAGAATACAATAGCCCCAGATCGCACCTGTGCTTTTTCGGCTGAGCAGCTTAACCAGTACTATAATGGCATCTCCAATGCTTCTGGAGGCCCATTCAAGCCTACTTATTTGGAGACTACAAATGACGGTCCGCAGTTCTCGCTCTTGCAAATATTTAATGCCAGGAAACGCATTAGGCGTACCGCTACTGGCCCAGACGCTCTGCCGTTTTGGATCTTTAAGGACAATGCTCACAATTTGGCCGAAACCGTTTGTCATATGTTCAACTTGTGCTTGGAACAAGGTATTTTCCCGGAGTTTTGGAAGCTTGCAAAAACATCTCCCTTGCCAAAAGTTTCGTCTCCAAAGCAGCCAAAGGATTTGAGGCCTGTCTCTGTTACTTCTGTTATGTCCAGAGTCTTTGAAAGGTTAATTTACCAGAACTATCTGCAAGGCCCCTATAACAGATGGCTTACACGTAACCAGTATGGTTTTCGTAAGCATTCTTCTACTTCCTGTATGCTCATTAGGCTGCAACATCATCTCCGGTATTTCCGTGAAAACTATGATTATGTTCGCTTCTTTTCTCTAGATATGTCAAAAGTTTTTGATACTACTTCCCACAAGAGTGTTATAGAAGGAGTAATGAATATTGTCCCAGTAGTCGATCCTGCGGTTGTCAACGTAATCATTAATTTCTTGCAAAATAGAGCCCATTATACATCTCTCAATGGCTTGGATTCAACTGTTTTGTATACTAATCAGGGAGTCCCTCAGGGCACTGTCCTTGGTCCACCTCTTTACAATTGCTCTACCCGTGCTATTGATGTTTCAGATATTTCCACCACGTTATGAACTTATGCTGACGATATTAATCCTCTCTTAGCTGGCTGCAATAGCGCTGACAAGGCTCGGTAAGTTATTAGTTCGCTCTGTCACCAATTTGACGCAAGAAACTTGTTTCTCAATGTTCAAAAATCGTCCAAGGAAATGCGTATCATTTTCAACCATAGTGGCAGTAATGCCATACATATGGTTGAGGGCATTGAGGTTGTTGATGACCTCAAAGTGCTGGGGTTTACGATTGACTCCAAATTTGGTTTTTCTAAGCATATTGACAAAGATGTTAAACAATCGAATTCTATACTTTTTTTCAATCTGGCGCCTTGGTAAAATCGGTTATTCGAAGGACGAACTTGCTATTTTGTATCGTGCTTTTATTATCCCAAAGCTTTACTATGGCATTATTGTTTGGGGTGGTTAAAATGTTAAAGATCTAGAGAAGATAAATTTGTTTCAAAGACGTGCAATAAGGCTCGGCGTTAATGATACTTATGAACCAATATCTGCAACTATTAGAAGAGCTGACCAAAAACTCTGCGATGCAATCCTCCAAACAGGTTCTGATCATCTGTTGTTTGATTTAGTTCCGACACGTTCTACCTACTCAGCAAACAACCTGCGCTGTCGTGATCCATCTATTGCTCGCTGTAAGATGGAGAGGCAAATGAAAATATTTCCTTATCGCCTGCTGCGCAGACTTCATGACATATAGTTTAATTTGTTATGACTTGTTACGAATTATAGATGTCATTCCATAACTAATTTAAGTATCTATCTATCTATCTATCTATCTATCTATCTATCTATCTATCTATCTATCTATCTATCTATCTATCTATCTATCTATCTATCTATCTATCTATCTATCTATCTATCTATCTAAAAACGTTACTGTTCTCCGGCTTCGACCAGAACGCTCAACTTAACTTACTTACATGCAAAATTAGTGAGCTCATGGCTGGGTCTCAGTATCCCCAGACCACGAGGTCATTCCTAAAAACACGGCTCCTACTATTTGTTATATTACTATTGTTTTTGTTCAGTAGATAAAATAATCATCTCCATCGAAGATAGATCAACCCTTTCCCTTAACTCCTAGCTTCTCATCGTCAGAAACTGAATCCAGATGTTAATTAAATTCAATTCAGGACATAACCAGGAAGCTAAAAAATTTGTATAAAATGGTTTAAGTTCAAGTCCCGAGACCCCTCCGTATTCCTGAATCCGGGGAAATTACATCCGTATTTCCTCTCCGGAAGGCTGGTTTCTACCCTTCACCGTTAGCGTGAATGGCCTTGCAACGATTGTAGCGACACAATTGTTGCAACTCGGAGCGGTCTCTGCTAACACTCTGTCGTATTTTCGTCTTTCTCTCAATTATCGTAGTTGTTCTCGCAACTTCTGTCGTTGTTCTGTTTTTATTTTGGATGTCTTCCAAAATGGCCGTTTCTGACGTTTCTCAGAAGTGTGACGTCACAATTCGAATTTTTAAAATTTAAGAATTTCCGAATCCTTTAGCCTTCATGATTTGTCTAATCGTCTAAATAACACTGTTAATCCTCTCAAACTGCCAATTCGGAGTGTTAGCTGCTAGCCTTCCGTAACTGTCTTTTTGTCAATTCTGGTCGGAGGTCACATACTGCCCGGACAGCCTGGTCAATGTCCCCATTGAATCTCGTAGTCTTCGTAAAAATGGTACAGTGCCATCGAACAGAATGTACAAAATGCAATAAGTCATTTTTATCCACGTCATATTGACTCACCACATAATATAAATGGCATCATACTACATCACTATAGCCTTACAAATTCTCTCATTAATCTGCACTTTCGAGGATACGACTTAAGGTAAAACAATTTTTCTGATTTCCAATGTCAATGCCCTGATTTAAAACTTTTTCTCCTAGGTTTTAAAAGGTGTTAGTTTGCATGACAGTCCTGCCAACCAACAAGCTAAAATTATCCTACTATGCTTCTTCCTTTCAGAAAGTTTAGTTGTTATTGGTCCTGAATAATAAAATTAAGGAACTCTGTGGCTAGAAAGAACAATGAAACAATCTCCCTCTTCAAGAGATTACCCAAGCCTTTCATGTCACCACAAAGTGATCAGTTTCCTAGTTGATTAAAAACAATCATGCAGGCTAGAATATTTAAATATACTCTTCACTTGAGCCTTTCTAAATTAATAGTAAGTGTCCCTAAAGCCACTAACTAAAATCAAAATGCAAATCTATAAAAGCAACAAATTCTTTTAATGTTCAAAACTCAACTAAATGTTTTCTTTCAGTTTCAACTACAAGTTGTTGGTTGCTTAGTTTCTCACTTGAGTTTTTGTCACACATATAAAACAATTCTGAGTTTTCACATCTTCTCTTTCGTCACTTCTTTGGTTCTTCTTTTTTCGTCGTTTAGCAATTCTGAAACTTCTAAATTGTTCTAATTTCGTTTCTTTTTGCATCTTGTTTTTCGGCCATTCTGTCAAGGCTCCATCTCCTCCTCCTGCAACAATGACTCTACACTTTCAGTTGCCGTGTCCTGCAACACATCGGTAGCTATCCTGACGCTGTTGGAAGCAGTCTTCCAACACTTCTGCTCCTCTACCCTTTGTTTACAACAAGGTAGGGGTCAACGTTAGATTCTCTGTTGCTGCAGAAGCTGCTGTGGAGACAAAACGTCACATTTCTCTCCAAATCTTCCTTCAACATCTCTTCTCTCTCCCTTCCATCACGTTCACTCATCCTGGAGATTCTCTTTACGGCGGTGGTCACTGCATTCTGATGAGTTACAAAAGCTCGCCTGAAAACTCCTGCTCCAATGTCCAGCTGATACGTACTGTACACTCTGCCGTGCTTCAACATATTCTTCTTGGCATATTCGTATAATCATGCAGTCATGTTGGCTCTAAACCATGGCATCAGACGTCTCCTGGCCCATATCTTTTTCACTTCCATCGGAATGATCAAGATTTTACACATTGTCTCAAAAAGATCTAAATGTTTTAGACTATCCAATTTCTGCAATTGTTCTCTCGTTGGCGCCTCCTGTCTATTGTTCTTCTTCCTGCTGCTGTCAACATCTTCGTGCTCATTGGTACATTGCAGACGGTCAGTACTGCGCAGTTGAACTTGTGCCAGAGAGTAGTAAATAG